GCGACCGCCCGTGCGTGTGCCGCCAACGCGTCGCCCGACGACGACGGACGTGATATTATTATTATTATTGTTGTTGTTGTTGTTGTTGTGCAAAAGGTGCGCGCGCCTTCGCGTACGTAATGCGTGTGCCGATTAACGGCCGGGCGACGTTGCGCGGACGTGTACGTGTTTGCGAATCGATGACGGGTGATGGGGGAGAACGATCGGGTAACGATAGGAATAAAACAGTAATAATCGGCTCGCTACCTCGCTTCGCTGGAGGGAGGACGCTCGCTGCGGGCGGTGAGAGCGAGAGAGAAAACGGACGGGAGAAAAAGTGGTAGAAAACACCGCGTCGTCGTCGTCGTCGTCCCACGTACCGGTGGACGGTCGGGTGCGGGGCGCGGAACGGATGACGGTATCATCCGCGCGCGGGCGCCTCGGTGCGCCCGGGGGAGATTTCGACGGCGAAACGTTTCGACACGCCGTCGACCGGGGCGCAACGACCGTTGACACAGTGACGACCGGTTCCACACCCTTTAGCGCGCAACGATAGTCTACCGTCGACATCTTATCGATTATATTTTTTCAACACCGTATAAGAAATCGAAACTTTATCGTTATTTGCCACGATTACTGTTATAATATCCAGATAACTTCTAAAATGAAAAACACTTTTTGCTTGTTCGTATGTTATACCCGTGACACTACAATAAAATATTACTCGTACAACAGATCGCCAAATAAAAGAATAATCCAGTATAATATATTACATTTACATGACGTAAATTAAATAATACCACTAATATTTTCAAACGGTAAAAATAACTTTTGTCTAAAATATAGACTCCTGTTTAGAAAATATAAAAATTATAACAACAATTCCAGCTACGAGTAGGTTGTACGTATTTATGCTGATGTATGCATCATGTTAATCGAGTTGTCTTTTCAAAACCACAATAACGATTTATCATGTGTTCTGTAATTATTTGTGAGTTTTATATCATAATACGACTCTTGGATCACGATCAAAGATTTAAGATTGACCATTGATTTGTATGCTAGATAAAAAAAAAGTGTTAAAACAATAGATAACTAAGATAATAACAATAAATCTTGTATTAAGAACGAGAAAAAATATAATTCAATTTCCGATGTAGGATTAAATTATACGTTTGCATTGCACGCAATCTGTGCTATCGTCGTGTATTGTTGTACAAACGATTGATAAGACATGTTGATAGTAAAGGTTGGCGCGCGCATGCGCGTGTGGATACTACAACTAGCTGCAACGATCCGCTCGTCTCGTACGAATACATGGATAGATATCGAATTATCTCTGGGAACCGGTTGCGCGGCAATTCGCCGACTATGGAGTGCGGCGAGACGCAACTTATATGTCGCCGCCGCTGCCGCTTTAGCGAGGAATCCGGACGTCAAACGTTGTGGAAGATTCGAAAACGAAGAAAATGACTTCGTTTGCCGGGTAAGATTTGGTTTTTCGAACACGAACACCGGACGCGCGCGCGTTGTCGGTGGAGAAACGACAGGAACAATGCCGTGGACAGCGACGAGTTTTGTTTTTATTAATTTTTTTTTCCCCTCCCCCCAGTGCTCCGACCGACGAGGAAGTCGAACGGTTCAACGTATGTTTACTGGAAATGATTGTCGAAGGCATGCTTCCGTTCGACGTCGTCGAGAACAGAGGTTTGCGGAACTTGATCGAACACCTCGGTCCTCGGTACACGTTGCCCACCCGGAAAACCGTTGAGTGCACCCTGATTCCCGGACTGTACGAGAACATAATGTCCGAAGTCGCCGAGCTTATTTCAAACGCCAAACACGTTGCGGTAACAATTGATATCTGGACGTACACTAACAGCGATCCGTATGTAACCGCGACCGCTCATTTCATCGATACCAATATACGTTACAGGCCACTCGTTTTATCTACTAAAAAGCTGATAGCCAATTACACTGCCAAATACTTGTCCGAAGTTTTATTGGAAATATTTCAATGGTGGAATATTGAAAAAAAAATTTCTGTTATTATAGCTGACCCCAAAGCTGTTATTAAGAGTGCAATACAATTACTAGGCATTGAATCCATCCCGTGTACAGGCCATTCCTTAAATAACGTTATTAATAATTCCCTGAAATTAGATGTAAACGAAAATGATCCATTGGCAAATGTGAATTCGTACCAAGTTCAAATAATAAATTTAGTAAAACTATGCCGTTCTATTGCTAAATATTTCAAATTCAACCAAATACCAAGAAGACTATTGAGAGAAAAACTGAAAGAGTTGAATTATACTGTTTTGAAATTAAAGCTAGATGATTCATCTAAGTGGAATAGTACATTGGTTATGATGGAACGTTTTCTTAAGATCAAAAAACCACTTACCTCTCTTTCTTTGTTAATCTTACGATGTCCACAAATGCCAACTACTGAGCAATGGACAATCATGGAAGATCTAGTGATGTTGTTAAAGCCTTTTGAAATGATGACAATGCAGCTGACTGAGGATCATAGACCAACCCTGGGAATTATTATTCCATTAATAAGAGGTAATTCATTTATTGTAAATTAAAAATAATATTTTCTTAACTATTTTTATTCCAGGTCTTCTACTTTCACTGGAAAATAGAACACCAAAAACATCCAGTGGAACATTTTTGAAGGAGACTCTGATTTGTAATGTCATGAAAGTGTTTGGTTCATTTGAATTGATGCAGCCATCATCCTACTACGCTAAAGCAACAATATTAGACCCTCGGTTCAAAAAAGCCGCTTTCACGTCGAGCTCACAATCGGACAATGTTGAGCTAAATATAGTATATGAAGTCAACGACTTACTAAAAATCAAAAGTAATAAAAACCAGTTATTTTAAATAAAAATTAACATTTTCTTTTTAAATAATATGTGATTTTCATGTATTTATATTTTAATTTATCAATACATTTAGATTACACTTATAATTCAAAATAATTTTATCCTTTGATTAGTCGCATAACTGTATAAAAGATCGATAGCTCTTTCATTTTAATTTTTAAAATATTTAAACTGTCGTTTTGTTTTGTAATTCATAATCATTTTTTTTTTTTTTAAGTATACAGACAATTATGATGTATAAATATCTTATATAAATATTTTATTATTTATTACTTTATTTATTTTCAATTACAATCGAGTCACGATAACTCGAACCTCAATAACTCGAAAAACTTGACAACTCGAATTGTGTTTTATTCCCCTTGAAAAATCTTCCCCTATAAATTAGTTAGATATCTTGAAGTGAATTTTTATCCCCATTCAATTTCGAGTTATCGAAGCTCGACTGTATTAAGTGTCATAATAACTGTGTGCAACCAAGGGTACCCACAAGGAGTGGCAAGGGAGAAACATTTCCTCCTAGCTTTTCAACTATTTAAAATAATTATATCCAAATTAAATATCCCAAAATCCCAAAAATCATAATTGGTACCAAGGTGTATTAATATTTATAGCTGGTTACATTTAACAATGTAAGAGAATCGTTTATCCGGATTATGTATGTTAAGTTTACACAGAAAAAAAATCGAAAAACTTCATTTAGTTGAAAAAGTTGTTGATGAATTTGGGAAAAATAAAATAAAATTTCAATTTGTGTTCAATTAGCTAGTAAAAGTGTTTAATTAGAATAAAAAGGTTTGATTATTAATAAAAATTAATGCTGTCCCATTTTCATCTGTGGGCGCTCTTGTGTGCAACAAAGAACCTAATTATATTGATCATGTGTAACTAAACAAGTAACATGTTTAGTGTAAACGACGAGAGTTAAAATATTTATATTTTATTTATTATTTTTTTTTAAAAAAGACATTTATTACATGGCATGTAATGTATAAGAAGGTAACTGTAAAAATTTAAATTTTAGTTGCATATTTCAATTTTTTTGACCGACAAATATATTATACAAGCAATCATCAGTATTCTCAATTACACGTAGAATACAAATTTTTAACCTTTAAAATCCTGGAAAATGTTGTATTTATTAAAAATAACCATTGTTAAGAAAAATTTTACTTATTTATTAAAATAAAAAAATGTTATTCTGATTTGAGCATACCAATAAATGTATTTTATATATATTTTTTATTTTTTTTTTGAATACAATTTTTTTTTTGCTTAATACATTTTGAATAGGCAATTAAAATGTAATGTGTAATACCATAAGATGTTTCAGTAATATCAACAAGAATAATAAATATTTATTCTTGAAAACAAAGACCCTTAAAGTTATACTGATAACATGAGAACGAAATAAAAATTATTACATTACTTAACCAAGCTATTATTTTTCAATGTTTTATTAAATTAAAAAATTGTTGGAACCTCTAAATAGTTGATGTATTACAAATTTAGTTATTAAAGTCTCATTTTTTCATACTTAGGCATTTTTATTATAAAGTTATAAGTTCAACCATATAAATTGTTTTCTTTACACCACAATGTAACATTTTAATCATATTGTAATAATATTTTGTGTATAATAGTAACTTTATTTTATTTAAACTAACGCTGAATAATTTTCTTTTGGTTTTAGAGGAATGTGATACTGCTACAATTGATATTGTCACCACTAGTCAACAAACAACAGATTTTACAAATAGTACAGAAAATTTACTAGACTATTTACAAGACAAGGTGACAACTATTTGGTCAAAATCAAATTGTACAAATACTACTGCTGTTACATTAATAAAACAGTACATGGATTTAACATACTTGAACTTATTAGAGGATCCTATTCAATTTTGGAAAACCCATAATTCTTTATTAGGCCCTTTATCAGATGTGGCGTTGAAATATGCTTGTATTCCTGCTTTGTCAGTATCATCAGAAATAATGTTTTCTAGAGCTGGAAAAGTTGAAATCCAACGAAAAAACAAGTTATCACCTAAAGACATAGATACTATGATTTTCCTAAATAAAAATATAGGAAAATAATTTTATTTTAGTATTTTATAATTGTTGCCAACCAAATTTTTTATCATTGATTTAAAAATAGACTATATTTTATTCATTTTATTGTTAGTTTTATAGGTTTTTATATAATTTTATATAAAGATTTTAACTGTAAAATTGTATACTATAAAAAATATATTATTAATTTAATGTACTTTTCTATTACAATAATTACATAATTATTTACATTACAATTTTTAATAATCGATATCAGTAATATGTAGAACCAAAAAATGTGTTGATTATGCAGCACTCTCTGAAAACAAAAAAATCATTGTTTAATACAATCTAGACAATTATTAATGAATCATGATTATTATGCCCATTGATTGGTGGCCAAATTATTATTACCAATTTTATGTTTTTTTTTTTTATAATAAACTGAATGGTGCATGAATCTTTATTGATTTTTTCTCTGATCATTATGATATGTAATAACAAATAATTATAAACTGAAATACAGTTATTGAAAAACAATGAACTGATAAATTGTATTTACATTTAAAGTTATTACAATGTTTGTAACTATAAATTATTATTAGTTATTTTTATTACTTGAAGAAAAACTGATGATGGATACTATTATTTGAATCTTTACATTCATTAATATACCATTTTAATCAATATTATTTTATACAATTTAACTTGATTGAATTAATGAAATTCTAAGTTTATAGTTAAAGCTTTTAAGGTGATCACTATACTATTTATATGTTCAATTATCTGGAGGTAAAAATATTTTATTTGACAGTGATAAAATTACCTATATTATCACAGTATTTAAAAATAACTATTTAAAATTATTTTCTTTTTAAAACAATAATGTTTCATACATAAATTAAATACTTATAAAGTTTAAAAAATAAAATTTTATTTAGCTTTGACAAATAGAATCAACTAAATGACTTAATAATTCTACAGTAAAAATACAATTTTTAATAAATATTATGATATTTAACATGACTATTTTAAATTATTTTGAAAATAAATTAAATAAAAACCCATACTAGGTTTTTTATGAGAAAAATTATTTAAGAAGAAATGTACGAATATTTAAATACAATATAAGCAAAATCCATTTTAAAAACACCTTCTAAATGTTAGTTATTATTCGATAGTACATATCCAAACCGTTACAGATATTTTCAATTTTACGAATTGATGAATTTAAATATAACTATAGCACAAGTATTGAGGTATGTAATTTAATTATATATATTTATATTTAATATGCAATTGAGTTAATTGAGTTAATTCATGATTAGCGATTGAAAATTATGTTGCTGAACAAGGCAGTTCATGTAGTGAGCCCGTTGAATAGGCTAACTAGATTATTTTAAATAAAATAACAAAACAACAATTTGAATTACAATATAATATTTTAATAATTTCTACACAAGTAAAGTTTGGACTTTAGTTCTCCACGTACGGATTACCTTAGTCTTTAACAAAATTAAAAATGAGGCCCCGAGTAATATATCGGTTGTCCTTATATATTAATATTATTTATTTTATTTATTATTATTACTTTATTAACTAATCAACACAATCCATATTATTAGATTAATTGCGTATTACGATTTATCTATTACAAAGGTTTTTTTCAACTATTTACGGTCTACATATAATATTCATAATTAATGCAATCTTTAACATTACATATATCACGTCAGTGCATTTTATAAGGAATTTTCACTGGGTGATAAAAAATGTTTTTCTCAAAATCGTCAATATATAATACCATAGTACGATTATAGTATAACACGTTTGTTTCGCATTATTTCGCCCAATCTTTTAAAATACTGTTGACAGAGTATTATCACTGGGCGACATTTGTGTCGCCTAGTTAACTAGTTAAAAAATGCACTGTATCACGTGATACTACATTAATAAGATTCTCATGTTTTTAAAAAACTTCTTTTGGCATGGTTTTGAAAATAAAAATGTTTTTAGGAACATTATTTTCCACAAAAATGTTGTCTTATCTTCAGTAGGTATGCTTTTATATGCAAAATAATCTTTAGCGTGTGTATTCTTATATTTGTTGTTTATTCTACGCTGAACAAATATTCTCACTCTCGCTATGTTTCACGCATTGTCGCATTCAATAAATACATGAAAATATTTAGTTTCTCGTCTCAATTTATATAGTCCTACTACTATTCTTATTATTCGGTTTCAAAATAAACAATTATAGTTGGAATATTGGATTAGGTACCTATACAGAAATTACGATTTTTCTAACGCAACTGAATATTTCAGCCTAAAACAATGATTTTAAAAGTTTCAATTTGAGTTTTGTATTTTAAAATATTAATACTTTTCATACATGCATGTACGAAAACAAACACCGAGGTTTATAATGTGTGTATAGAAATAAACAAATAAATAAATGCTAAGATTACATACACAAAGTATGCATATGTATATATAGTGCCGTGTCTAGTATAATTTACCAAATATTTTTATATCTGTAAGCTATAAGGAAACCACATAACTATAACTATTTATTAACTATTTAACTATTTATTTTGTATTTATTAAATGAATAAAAGCAGTAATAAACAATTAAAGAATAATATAAGTAATTTTTTGTCGAAGACATCGTTGTTTCGAGAAAAAAATAAACACTAATACTAAAAATAAACTAACAACACCGCCGATCAGGAATCCTGATTCAGGACAATGTTAATGATGTAGACCAACGATTCTCAACCGGTTACAAGTTTTATTAGGGTCTCATCATGTGAAAAAAAATTATTTCAAATTTACAACAGCAAAAAAGTCGTTAAATTAAAAAAATATTCAAATTTACATAATTTTTATTTTATTTATATATATTTTTCTATTAATTAACGCCAATCGGCTTTAATAATATACCTTTTTATGTAAAATTTATACACAAATAAATTAAATAATAGTTTGTAAAATTTTTCAATGTTTAAATTACAAACATTGTTTAAACATTTGTTAAACATTATTGGGGGTTGCGAACTCAAAAAGGTTGGGAACCGTTGATGTAGACCACGCGTCGAGACCATGGCCTTGAACGTATTAAATATTATGAATTAAATAATATGGTAAAATTTCAGTAATATTACTTAGATCAGGAGCGTCATTTGGGAGTGGGGGTGACAGACTATACCCACTCCAAGAAATTTTAAAAAGTCGGCAATTCTTTGTCGGATGATCAAATACTAAAATCGGTAAATAGTAAATTTTTATTTACTTTTTTGTACTCTTTTGAAATCAGATGATATTATCTTTTAAACCGTTAAAATCGTTCTTATTCACCCCAAACTACGGTACATTACGGTATATTTGAGATACAATTTTTTTCTTTTTATAAATCAGTTCTGTAAAGTATTAAATATACAAATATTAAAATTATCAGTATTTATTATTTATTTAATTAGATTTGTATTATTATTCCATTAAACCTATTAATAGGTAACTAAAAGTTATAGGATAAGTAAATAAATTAATGTTTTACTATCTTTAATGTTATTGTTTAATTTGGGTAAATTGAAACGTTTTATGTTCATGTTTATCATCATGACATCATTATACATTACTAATCCTTACATGTTTTGTTCCAAAAAAATATTTTATTGATAGTCTATCGTCTATAAATATTAACTATTTAAATATATAGGTAACCATCATTTTTTAAATATTATGAAGTAGGCAAATTTAATCAGTTGCCCCACCCTTTCAAAAGTTTAAATGACACCCTTGACTTAGATTATAAAAAATCTTTTGAAGTCCTAGCAGTCATGGCTTCCGGAGCACACGCACCTCTCGCACCCCCTTGTGTATATACAAATATATTTTAATTGGTAACGTTTGTATTGATGCTTGTCAACTAATTCGTTAAAAAACAAAATGTTAAGAAATCTGAGGTAGAATTTATTATTGCGTAATCTCAACAAAAACATAGAAATACTGTATCCTAGTAGAATATTCTTACGATTAAGTTACAACATGTACTTACTTCACCTATTAAATTGCAAAACTTACAATCAGCGATTTTTCAAATTTAGAAAACAGATTTTTTGGTAAGTTCACACTGAAATATTTGAGCAATTCAATAAAAAAACAATCCAGTGTATGCAATACTTCATTAATACCTACAACTTAACGGTTACCATATAAATATATAATATATAAATTAATAAAATACACTAATTTATTAAATGCATTTTTAGTACAATATCAAACTCATGTTCGACACGCAGGAAAAATATTTGTTTTATAATATGTTTTTTAATTTTAACTGTATATAATTTTTAAAAACGATCAATGTTTTGCTATATTCTTGCTGTATATTAATTTTACTTGCACAAAAATTAAAAATTACAATCCTATCGATATGTTTTGTCAAAACTCAAACATTTTTATTTAAAACATTTAACACTAACTCGTATGAACATAATGGATTAATAATAATGATTATAAATTGTTAGCATTGTCGCGTTCGTGGTTGTTGAGAATTTGATAGGTAAGTGACAATGATTGAAGCATTGAATTAACTGGTACATAGTTGAAAAACTTATATTGAATAACAAATACTTGAAACTCTGGCTTGGGAAAAATAAGTATAATCCGAAAACGTTCGAAAAAAAACGCACAAAGCACTGTAAATACGTGTACCAACATTTTCCATGTCGTTTATCTATTATTATTATTGCAAACTAACAGTTGATCATAGGTTCAGTATATCATACAGAAAACATTGCAGTTGCTCGCGTTGTAATGATTTTCCTTTCAGTTAATGACGTTAGTATACCTACCAGGGACGGATCTAGGAGGGTTCAGGGGTAAAATGTATGTTCGATATCCGTGTTTAGAATTCCTAGTTTTCAATTTATTAATATACGTACTATTCTCTTATCTCAAATTGTTAAGTGACGAATATTTATAAAATAGAATCTCAGAATTTAATTTTTGTTATACGATCGTTAATTATATGGAATGGGCGCATGTATACTCCGCCACAAGTACCTTTTTTTACTATAAACCGCCAGAAAAATA